CAGTGAGACAGCAAAAGAGCTGACTATGTCTGTCCCCACCCTCATCAGTCATTGGTTAAGGGCTGTGCCGGGAGGGAAGGGACACAAATTCTCAGGTGCTTGGCTCTTCTTGCACCTTCCAGCAGAATGTCATTTCTGTGAAAGAATGCACACTTTGAATTCAGCTGTCTACAAAGAGATGGCAGAGGGATCCTAGATGACATAGGTAGAGCAGGACAGCTTCTGCTACAGCGCCCTATATTGCTTTTACTTTCTGATATTTTTCACAGCAAAGCAAACTTTCCTGTTGCTCTGCTAACTTTGTTACCGCTCACCCATCTGCCTTCCATCTTCCAGCATTTTCTTGTTAGCTCTTGTCTGTTGTTGCCTCTTCTATTCTCTTTATCCTTTCAGTTTTTATAAGATTGTTTTTTATTCCGTTTCAGTCATTTCAGAGATGCTTCAGGATGGAGCTGTGATAAACACATGTGTTCAGTCCACGATGTTTAATAGGGACTGCCTCCTGATTTTTCCATATGAATTACTGAGGAGTAGGTAGCAGACTGTCTTGATGCCCTTCCCCATGTCCCCTGAACTGAGCTGACCTGGACCTGCAGGCTGCAGTAACTTAGAATCCTAAGCATGCTGACGGTTTACCCACTCAAGCACCTGCCTCATTCTGCTTCTCTGAGGATTTCCTCCAGTACAACAAAAGCTTGCCCAACCTTCACAAGGCATCCTAGAATTGCTGGGGACAGAACACCCCTCAACCCATGAAGGATGAGGATCAGTGGATTAATATCCAATCATCCCATACCTTGGTGGGACTATTATAAGGCATTCTGTGTGGTTCCTCAGAGGTCCCAAATGGGAAAGAGCCCAAATTGCCCCTGCCAGTAATAACTCATTCATCAGTTCAGTTTCTGTTTCACTCCTCTCACTTTCCACACTCACTCACTTGCTCTACCTGGGATCCTCTCCAAGACAGACTCTTGTATCCAAAGCTTTGTCACAAGGTTTGATTTTGGAGGAAGTCAAATTAAGGTAATCACTGGAAGTGACTATAGAAAGTAGTATTCTCAATGGTATGGTGGCAGCAAAACCCCACTGGTGGTGGTGAGTGCGTGACAAACCCTGGCACTTCGAAGATTCCATACCTACACTTGACCCGTGGTGTACTTGGATGAGGTAAAGGTGAAAGAGAAGCTTCTCTAGCTTATGCAGAAAGTGCTCATCCTCCTGAAGGATGTGGGGTTGTGATAATCACAGGAATTGAAGAGTTGTCTTGTTCCCAACTGCCTTAGAAGAATTGGGAAAGAAAGACAGGTTTATATCATCCAACTATCCATTCACAGCATAGTAGTGAAAGCCAGAAGGCCTCCTTGGAAAGATCTGAAGTGATCTCCATTTCCTTAGCCAGGCATGGTGGCTCACACCTGTAATACCAGCACTTTGGGGGGCTGAGGCAGGTGGATTACTTGAGATGGGGAGTTCAAAACCAGCCTGGCCCACATGGTGAAACCCCATCTCTACTAAAAATACAAAAATTAGCCGGGCATACGGTGCACGCTTGTAATCCCAGCCATTTAGGAGGCTGAGACAGGAGACCCTTGAACCCAGGTGGCAGAGGTTGCAGTGAGCCGAGATCATGCCAATGCACTGCAGCCTGGGTGACAGAGAGCCATATTCTGTCTCAAAAAAAAAAAAAATATCCATTTCCTGCAACTGGGGGCAGACTGTTCTAAAAAATGACACTCAGGGGTTCATTGCAAGAGTAACAGAACTACAAAGCCAACTGAAGGCACAGTCCAGGCAGTTCTCTGATGTAAAAGACAAAGCCCTAGAGGAAGGAACGGGTCTCAGAACTAGCCGGGGCAGGCATCTGGGTAGACATGCTTGAGAACCTTGAACCCCTACATTCCCTGAACCCTCCAGGTTAGAAGTATCCTGCACCCCATTAGTTGAAGAGAACAGCTTCCCACTGCCTAGAGACTCTTACATAATCCTCCATGAAGCAGACACCACCAAGATTGCTTCAAGGTCTGCCACTGCCTGCCCTCATTGCATCTATGCCAAAAACTAGAAACAAGTCTCAGCAGGCTCCTGGAGCAGGCAGCATAGTTCTTGCTGCAAGAGATGTGGCAGGTTGTATTTTCTAAAGAAGGCTGCAACAGTATCTCTCATCCCAATTGCTTTGCTACGATGCAAACTTGTCATTCCCCTACCAAGAGATGAAATCTAATTTTTCTTTCTTTGTTTTTGAGACAGAGCCTTGAGTCTCGCTCTGTCACCCAGGCTGGAGTGCAATGGCACGATCTCGGCTCACTGCAACCTCTGCCTCACAGACTCAAGCAATTCTCCTGCCTCAGCCTCCCAAGTAGCTGGGATTGCAGGTGCCTGCCACCACGCCTGGCTAATTTTTTTTTTTTTTTTTTTTTTTTTTGTATTTTTAGCAGAGACGGGGTTTTACCATGTTGGTCAGGCTGGTTTTGAACTCCTGACCTCAAGTGACCCGCCTGCCTCGGCCTCTCAAAGTGTTGGGATTACAGGTGTGAGCCACCGCGCCCGGCTGAAATCTAATTTTAATCCCCTTGAATCTGAGCTAATTTTTACTTGCTTTGACCAGTAGTGTTCAGGAAGGGATGCTGTGTGTGGATTCTACAGCTGAGTCATAAAAGGTGACAAGCTTCTATCTATTCTGGGGACAGTTGCCTCTGTGGCACTGAGCTACTGTGTAAGAAGACAACCTACCCTGAGGCCACCATGCTGAAAGAAAGCAAAGCCACATGAAGACTGAGTAAGCTGGTTGCTTTAGCAAGATCCTTCATACTGATAGTGAATGTGTAATTTATCTTCTGGTGAATGCAAACTATTTTGCAATAGTCTCACACTATGCCAAAGACTTGTTTTCGTTGAACGCATTCTCTTTATCATTCATGACCTGGTCCTAGGAATTTGTTAAATGCTCCTCATTTCTGTTACAATATAGTCTGCAATCACCTTGACTTTGACATTCTGTAGAACATCATCCTGGCTCCATTATATGAATGACAGAACAATAATTGGACTTAGTTTTCAGGAAGGAGCAAGTATTCTGGCTTGAAATACTTCATGCTGAAGGATGAGAGATAAACCCTACAAAGTTCTGGAAGCCTGCCACGTCAGGGAGTATTTTAGAGGCCCAAAGATCTAAAGGTATGTTGAGACGTCCTATCTGAAGGAATATTTTACATTTCCTACCACTAAGAGAGAGGCACAGCACTTTGCTGAGCTGCTTGAATTCTTGAGGCAAAAGCAAAACAAAAGACACAAACAAACAAACCAAAACTACCTCTTGAGAGTAATGCTCTGATCCACTGTATCAGAAGACTATTGGCTTTGAGGAGGTCAGACGAAGCCTCTGAATAGCCTTGTAAACACTTAAGGCATCAATTTAGAAATGACACCTCGCATGGCTGGGTCATTGTCCTTGAGGATGCAGTATGTTTGCTGAACCAACACACTATATGCAATCACTGTGCTGTTTCCCCAGCATCTCAATAATATAACCAATAAAGGGTGCAAGTAGTGGATGGACTTAAACACACTCCTTTGAGCCACTAGTGGAAATTATGTTTTAATTTATAACTTCAGGCTCTTCCTGATGAAAAGCCTTGGTCTCAGGGTGTGTGGACAGAGGGAGACAGTAAGGTTTCCTCACCGCATCAATACAGTGTCACCTGAGGACTTGGCATCTCCATGCTGTCAGATCAGCAGGCAAATGGGTATGATTACACTGGCAGGGGTGATCAATTGGATTATCTTGAAGAGTTGGAGCTGCTGCTACACAAGGAGGAAGATGTCTAGAACTTGGGGGAATCACTTGGGGACCCCTTAGTGTTTCTTTGCTGCTCTGATGATAATAGCAGAGAAGCTGTAAGTGAAGCAACCATGGCCTGACAAGGGCAAGGTAATCTGCTCAACCATCAGAGATAAAGGTATGGTCATTCACTGAGCAAGCAAATCGATGACTAGTGGAAGTGCTAGCTAAGGATTTGGGAACTCTAGAAGAGGAGCAGAGGGATGATGAGTATAGATTATAGCCTTGGACCAGCTGTAGCAGTGAAGATTGTGACTTGTTCCAGTATATTCTCTATTTTCAATCATTTTTGGAGATTGCAGCCAGCTACAACCCTGAAATGTCAGTAACAGAGCAAACTCAGGGTGGGCATGAGAGGACTGTTGAGAGCAAGGAGGAACACGTAGTCACTACTGACACTTGCCCACGGCCCACCTGTTAGTTCCCCAGCAGCTGTAAACATGTCCATACACACTGACATTCTGATACCTAATGAAAATAGTCCTGCTTCTCTGCTGAGGCCTTCCTCAGCCCATAGTGAGAGTAGCCTGGAAGTGCTGAGGGCATAGTACCCCCAAGGTCAACCTTTAATCAATAAGGTTCAAGAGTTAGAAGATAAGCACTCCCAACTTCCCCATCCGTCAGTGAATTCCTCCTGAGGCATATTCTATATGGTTTCTCAGAGGCTCCCCAGTGGAAGTGAGCCCCAGTGGCTTAGGAAAATGGAACCTACTAATTAAGGCACCCCCTTTTTACTTTCCTCCTTTCTTCCTCTCCCTTTCCTCACTCCATCCCATGAAGTTCCTGAGATCACCAAATAAACTATCTGTAATCAAGTCTTTATCTCAGTCTGCGTTTTGGGGAACCCAAACAAAGATGTAAGTTTTCATCATAAGTTTGCCTGTCTACATTTATTTCTTATTTGCTACAAATATTAGTAATTTTCTTGACAAAAGTAATATGCTGTCAGTTGATAGGCCTAAATAATACATACTTGTGGTGATATCTGCAGTAAAAATGTGAAGAGCAATTTTTAAAAGTTATTTTCACTAGCTTATGAAAAATAAAGAAATTGAACTTTGAAAAAATGCAGCAATACATCCTAACATCATATAAAGAGGAATATTTTCATAACTGTAGAAATGGTTGGCAGGCTGTCAACTATCCAGGGATTATTTTGAAATTGCTGTCATTGGCCAACTACTATGACCAATGAAATCAACATTTTCACGATGCAGGCAAAATAAACATCAAAAGTCAAATTTAATAGGTTTATGTTTTCCTTTAAAAGTTGTTGAACTATCTAGGTTACTCAGCCCTTTATTTTTCATTTTACAGCAGAGTTTTTACATATGCAAATACACATACACATATTTGCATTCAGACATACATGCACACATCTTTTTGTATTTTAAATATTTTCAAAGCGTAGCTCTATAGACTTATGCATTTTAACTTTGGTAATGAATGCAGTATTCCCTTTGGAATCCAGCTTATGAAGAAATTCATGCTGAGGGCAAGTATATAGTAATTCTTTATCTCTTGCATATTAGGAAACCCTTCAGGAGGGATATTACTAAGACAAATTTAGAAAGACCTCCACATTCAGAGACAAAAATGTCAGTGGCATACTGAGAAAGCCAGTGAGTGGTCAAAAATCAGGAATAAACAAGCTTTGCTCATTTGAACCTGTATAAATATTTGTTGAATACATCCTGTTTGTTTTCACTTTTGATGGGATATTAGTTTGTGAAACCAAATGATATCCAGATTCTTTCTTCCCATAGGCTTATGAATACCCAAATATGGCATATTTGCCTCCATATTACAGGCTTCGTTGAACATCAATTGTTTCTCTCTACCTTTCTCCATTTCAATCATGTGATTCTAGTGTGAACTTCTAATTATGGACCCCTGATCTCTCTGTTTCAGTCATAGGGCAGGAATGTTGTTAATTATCATGCATCAAGCACTGTCTTTAGTGATTGTTCAAAGAGGCTATGAAAGCTAAACCAATCAGAGGCCTTCTCCAGAATTCTGAAGTGGAGTTCCACAGGGAGGAAGAGCTTTTTATGCTAGTGATGATGTCTGGAAGCAGCCATGCACCTCCACCACATGGAGAAGGCTGGTATGAAAGAATGAAGCCAAATTGTACGGACACATGATACAAAGTGCCAAGTCCTCAGTTCTAGAGCTGGAAAATCCCACTGGCCAAATCTGTGCCCCCTGTCTTCTGGGGGTTGGTCCTTCTCTCCTCCCACTTTCTGGGAGCACCTCTTGTATCTCTCCCTTTGTTCCTCTGTGGTGCTCAGAGTAAGCCAATGTGGGTTCCCACTGTTTACAAACAAGAGCTCTGATAAATGTGCTGCATTTACTTTTGTTATTTTATCAAATAGTTATAAACTCAACTGCTTAATTAGGCAAAGCATTCTGCTGCTTTTCCTTTTTGATATCTCAGTAACTGATTTCTAAGGAATAGATGGCATCTTGCTGGAATTGTTTTCACCTGTTGCTCTTTCACCCAGCCTCACCCAGCCTCACCCAGCTCAGATATTGACTAAAGCTGTTCAACTCAGCTGACCTGGCTACGGAGTACAGAGGTAGGTGGGCACCATGGCTTGGGTGCAAAAGAGACCTTAGTGTCCCAAATTGTAATGTTACGTTACCAATGCCTAAATGCTATCTATATTTTGGGACTGCATGAGCAATTCCCAGGATACCCTCACCTTTTTACCCCAGTGATAAAAACCAGAGATCTCAACAAAATAGCTCGTATCTACCATGCTGCAGACAGACTGACAATTCTTTTTTTCTTTCTTTTTTGAGACACAGTCTCACTCTGTTGCCTAGGCTGGAGTGCAGTGGTGTGATCTCGGTTCACTGCAACCTCCACCTCCTGGGCTCAAGCGATTCTTCCACCTCAGGCTCATGATTAGCTAGGATTACAGGTGCACACCACCATGCCCATTTCATTTTTGCCTTTTGTATTGTTTGTAGAGATGGGGTTTCACTATGTTGCCCAGGCTGGTCTTTGGTTCCTGGGCTCAAGCAATCTGCTCACCTCAGCCTCCCAAAGTGCTGGGATTACAGGCATGAGCCACTGTGCCTAGCCAACAATTCTTACAACTATTTTTTGTTACAATTCTGAAGACCTGCTTCAATGTGGGTTTTAGGGTTTGGTTTTGTTTTATATTTTGCTGAGTACTTGCTTTGTTTTTAATCATTTTACAGCCATTTTGAGGATGCATAAACTTCAACTGTTCTTTAATTGTCAATTTCTCCAAATTAGGCTGGGCGCAGTGCCTCACACCTATAATCCCAACTCTTTGGGAGGCCTAGGCGGGTGGCTCACCTGAGGTCAGGAGTTCAAGACCAGTCTGACCAATATGGTGAAACCCCATTTCTACTAAAAATACAAAAATTAGCTGGCGTGGTGGCGTGTGCCTGTAGTCCCAGCTACTCGGAAGGCTGAAACAGGAGAATTGCTTTAATTTGGGAGACAAAGGTTGCAGCGAGCCGAGATTGTGCCACTGCACTCCAGCCTGGGTGACAGTGCCAGACTCCGTCCTATTAAAAAAAAAAAAAAAAATTCCAAATTTTAGGTTTAAAAGAGGCAGTATCTGATTGGCCTTGCTTGGGTCATGTGGCCACCTTCGCTAGAAGATGTGCAGGGCACACCCAAAAATGTTATCCATTGGGAAGTGTAATTCTCTCTAAGGAAAGTCAGATGCTGTTGGTAAGAGGAATGGATGCTAAGCAGTTAAATAACCACAAATGCCCACTACAGGGAGCATATGAGAGTATTTTCACCAGAGCTAAGCAGAACATAATTGGATAGTAACTGCTTCCTAAAATACCACATTCACCTGCCATATACAAACAGTTGAGACTACTTCTCTTGAACTTCCCACTTTCATTTTTCACTTCATTTAGCCTAAGGCAGGATTCCTGGTTTCTTTTTCCCTCCCTTATTTATTTATTTTACAACAAAAAAAGACCACATTTTCTTTCTTTCTTTCTTTCTTTTTTTTTTTTTTGAGACAGAGTCTTGCTCTGTCGCCCAGGCTGGAGTGCAGTGGCACAATCTCAGGTCACTGCAACCTCTGCCTCCTAGGTTCAAGCAATTCTCCTGCCTCAGCCTCCCAAGTAGCTGGGATTACAGGCACCTGCCGCCACGCCTGGCTAACTTTTTTGTATTTTTAGTAGAGACGGGGTTTCACCATGTTGGTCAGGTTGGTTTTGAACTCCTGACCTCATGATCCACCCTCCTCGGCCTCCCAAAGTGCTGGGATTACAGATGTGAGTTACCATGCCTGACCAAAAAAGGCCACATTTTCTAAAAATTTCAGAAGAAAACCTTCCTTTAAAATATTAATAGATTTATCTTGTCCAATGTGGAAAGCTATCCATTATATACTGTTAAGTAAAAATAATCAAGCAGCAGAATAGTATGAAATCTCATTTTGGTAATTTAAAAAAATATATTTAAAAAAATTTTTTAGAGACAGGGACTTGTTAATGTTGCCCAAGCTGGAGTGCAGTGGCTACTCACAGACATGACCATACCACACTACAGTCTCAAACTCCTGGCCTCAAGAAATCCTCCTGCCTCAGGCTCCCAAGTAGCTGGATAAAACATTTTGAAGTACAAATATAACTGAATATGTACCAAAAAGTCTTCCTAGGTATGCACCAAACACATAATGATGGTTTGGTAAGCAGAATAATGGCCCCTCAAATATGTCCACATCTTAATCTCTAGAATCTTATTTATTTATTTATTTATTTTTTTGAGACGGAATCTCGCTCTGTCCCCCAGGCAGTGCAGTGGCATGATCTCCACTCACTGCAAGCTCCGCCTCCTGGGTTCACGCCATTCTCCTACCTCAGCCTCCTGTGTAGCTGGGACTATAGGCACCCGCCACCGTGCCCAGCTAGTTTTTATATTTTTAGTAGAGATGGAGTTTCACCATGTTAGCCAGGATGGTCTCGATCTCCTGACCTCGTGATCCACCCGTCTCGGCCTCCCAAAGTGCTGGGATTACAGGCGTGAGCCACTGCGCCTGGCCAATCTCTAGAATCTTTAAATATGTTACCTTACATGACAAAAGGAACTTTGTGGATACGGTTAAATTAAGATCTTGGGATGGGAAGCTTAGCCTAGATTATTCAGGTGGGCCCAATGTAATGACAGGGGTCTTTAGAAGTGAAAGAGGGTGGCAGAAGAGTCATTTCAGAATGATATAGTAGGAGAAAGATTCTACCACCATTGCCAGGTTTGCAGATGGAAAGAAGCCACAAGCCAAGGAATGCAGGCAGCCTTAGAGGCTAGAAAAGGCAAGGAAACAGATTCTCCCTTAGAGTTCCAGAAAGGAACTCATCCCTGCCAGCATCTTGATTTTCATCCAGTGAGATCCATTTCAGATTTCTGACCTCTAGGACTCGATAATCAATTTGTTGTGTGTATTGTTTTTTTAAGCCACTAAGTTTGTGATAATTTGTTACAGCACCAATGGAAAATGGATGCAACTGGTTGCTCCTGAGAAGTGGGCTTTTTGGGGGCAGGGATGTAGGAGGAGAAATCAATGTATATTAATACTTCCAAGCTGGGAATTTTTGCAAGAATATATTATTTGTAAGTTAGACACTAGTATATATATTTTTGATTATACTATACAAATAAGTTAACAACATATTTTCAGAAGGGTTTACTGAATTTGCCGAAATTATCAGTTTCCCTAAAAGAGATTTGCTACTTAATGTTCATAGATATTTTTAAACAAATATAGATTTGTATTAAGAAATGTCTCAGGCCAGGTGCAGTGGCTCACGCCTGTAATCCCAGCACTTTGGGAGGCTGAGGCAGGTTGATCACGAGGTCAGGAGATCGAGACCATCCTGGTCAGCATGGTGAAACTCTGTCTCTACTAAAAATACAAAAAATTAGCTGGGCATGGTGGCTCACACCTGTAGTCTCAGGCACTCAGGAGGCTGAGGCAGAAGGATCACTTGAGCCCGGGAGATGGAAGTTGCAGTGAGCCAAGATCGCACCACTGCATTCCAGCCTGGCGACAGAGCGAGACTCCGTCTCAAAAAAAAAAAGAAAAAGAAATGTCTCTAGCTGTGTGGATGTGTATATATATCTGTATGCATGTGTCTGCATGTATACACACCGTATTTATTTATTTGACCAAGATGAATGCATGTGTTCATTTGTGATCATTAAGGGAACATTTTGCTGGGGCAGCAAGCTCAAAACAAATCGCCTGTTGCCTCTGACAGCTGAAAGCCAGATGATGCTGAGGATGGCTGGAGAGGTCAGCTGTGACTCTTTTGCTCAACTGTTGGACAAGAGTAGGCTTGAAGTTGATAACCTCTATTCCTCTCCTGGGCAGTGCTTCTCAAACTTCCAAGAGCATAGGAATCACCTGGAAATCTTGTCAAATGCAAATTCACTTCAGCTGGGCTGGGGAGATTGACAGTCCATATGTCTAACAAAGTCCCAGGTAAGCCGATGCTGCTGGCCCACTGACCACCCCCTGGGTAACAAAGCTCTATGGCAGTGGTCTTTACACTTTGCTGCATAATAGAACCACCGGGAGCACTTTCAAAAATCCCTTGCCCATGCAATACCCCATACCAATTAAATCAGAAAATCAGAATCCCCGGGAGTGGACTCCAGGTCCCCAGGTAATTCTAATGTGCGGCTGAGTTTGAGAACCAGAGGTCAAGCACAGAGATTCTCAAACTGGAGTTTGAATCGGGATCACTTAGAGGGGTGCTGGGCATCACCCTCGAAGTTTCTGATTCAGGAGTTCTAGGGCGGAGTCCAGAGGTTCGTGATATTAGAGACAGAGGGAGAGGAAGAGGGAGTTGGGTGCGAGAAAGAGAGAGAGGTGGTGGAATGAGCAAGAGAAGGAAAAAGGGAGAGGGGAGGAAAAAGGACAAGTTCCTTGTCTTCTGGGATTTTACAGGTTCCTAGAAGAAATAAGACAAGTATTCACATAAACAGGAAACAAGATTAACTATGACACAAAGCCAAGAGAAAGAATCCAAATATTCTAGGGGAGAAGACTTCCAGCAGAGGTGATGAGAGGTGCTCCCAGGGGTGTGGAACTGGGGACCAAGAAAAGGGACTGGGTTTAAGGAACACTTTATGAAGAGGATCTCCAAGGGTTGGCACTCAAACAACAGCTGGGATGTTGTCACACAGAGATGGGACAAGGCTATTCCAAGCCAAAAGTTCAGGAGCAAGGGCCGGACACGGTGGCTCACACCTGTAATTCCAGCACTTTGGAAGGCCAAGGTGGGTGGATCACCTGAGGTCAGGAGTTCCAGACCAGCCTGGACAACATGTTCTCTACTAAAAATATAAAAAGTAGCCGGGCATGGTGGCATGTGCCTGTTGTCCCAGCTACTCATACTCAGGAGGCTGAGGTAGAAGAATTGCTTGAACCTGGGAGGTGGAGGTTGTAGTGAGCCAAGATGAGTCATTGCACTCCAGCCTGGGGGATGTAGCAAGACACTGTTTAAAAAAAAAAAAAAAAAAAAAAAATTCAGTAGCAAAAGGTGGATACTCGAAAACATAGGCTGTGTTCAAGAAACAGCAAGATCTGGTCTAGAATGGAGTGGGGATAGAGCATGGGGGGCCGAGGGCAGGAGCAGGCTGCAGGGGAGGTCTGGGCCAGGTCCCATAGGGCCGCAGACTCCAAGCAGAACATGGAGGTCATGCTTAATTTGGTAGACAATGGGAAGCTCATGAAGGTTTTTAAGCAGGAGCACCCTATCACTCAGGAAGGAGTGAAAGAGCTACAATGAAGGGGCAGAGGCTGAGGCTGTTTGGAGCAGCTGCAAGAATTCAGGTGAGAAACACCACGTGCCTGGATTAGGGCTGGGTATGGAGGTAAAATGTCCTTAGGAAACATTCGCAGATAGAGATAAGCTCTGCCACTTAAACTGTTAACATAGGTCTGATCTTCATTAGAATTAGAAGATACATGAATTGTGAGTGCCTAGAAGCTCCTGCTAGATGAACATTAAACAACTACAGTCTAACCAGTTCTGGAAATATCCCGAGCTGGGTGAATGTGTCCAAAGGTCCCAAGCTGGACAATTAGAATAGAGGTCAAGCAGCCTTATGTCGAGTAAATGTTTAAGAAGGAATGAAGACAAATGCACAGACTCCTGTGAGTAATCATGAGGAAGGTCAGGGGCATTTGTTAAACAAAGACCAACAAAGACAATCTCAGAGGCAGAAGTCGGGGACAGACAAACCCATGCACCTGGGATGGTCCCCAGTGGGCCCCATCTTGGGTGCCCAGTGAAAGATGAGAGGCACAGAGGCCCTGCCGCAAGCCAGGTGGGAAGAGTTGTAATCACCTCTGACGCCTGCTGAGACCTGAACCTCTGCTCTGTGCCTCCCCAACCAAATAATAACCTGAGGCCTGTCCTCAGCCCTCCACCACTCTCTCCTCCACAGTATCTGACTGCAGATCCAAAGTTCATGACAAACTGGTCACCTCCACTAGGAAGGAAGCAAAGACAGCTGTAAAATAGGATGAAAGTTTGCTTATTTTAATAGGAAGAATAAAATTAAAAGTTTATTTTTGGGGGCCAAAGAAAATCAAGTACTTTGCTTCAAGCAAAACTGGGATCTCTATGCACAAAGAGACAGGTCTGAGTTTGACTCCTGGCTCCATCACTTAACAGCCGTGTAAGCTTCCTGAACTTGCATTTCCTATCTGTGAAATGACAATGCCAGCCACTCACAGGCTTCTTAGTGAGACAGGCATGAAGGTGCGCAGGGCAGGGTTGGGTCACTGCGGGCCTTCGGCATCAGTCCCTTTTGCCAGAGGACAGCTCTACTCATTCTCCCAGTCCCTGGCAGTTGTCACAGTCTTTGCCCTAAACCCCCTTCAGTTTCCTTCTCTTCTCTTCTCTCTTCTGAATCCTCCAGGCCAGATGCTCTGGAGTTAGCCACTGTCTTAATTCCATCTGCATCCCCTCCTTCCAACACCCAGTAGGAACTGTCACTCAAAATCATACATGTGACAGGCCGGGTGCAGTGGCTCACACCTGTAATCCTAGCACTTTGAGAGGCCGAAGCAGGCAGATCATGAGGTCAGGAGACTGAGACCATCCTGGCCAACATGGTGAAACCCTGTCTCTACTAAAAATACAAAAAATTAGCCGGGCGTGGTGGCACACGTCTGTAGTCCCAGCTACTTGGGAGGCTGAGATAGGGGAATCACTTGAACCAGGGAGGCAGAGGTTGCAGTGAGCTGAGATCATGCCACTGCAGTCCAGTCTGGCGACAGAGCAAGACTCTGTCTCCGAAAAAAAAAAAAAAAAAAAAAAAAAAAATCATGCATGTGACAAAATGCTTAAAAACATGGGCTATGTCTTCAGACACATGCATTCAAATCTTGGTTTTGCCTGGTACAAAGACAGCGATCTTAAGGGATCTCTGGTGATAATCCTGCTTATCTTCCAGGGTGGTGAAGATTACATGAGTTTTCCATATTAAATGCCAAGCATATTTCCTGGCTTGCAGAAAGAGCTTGGGAAATGCTAGCCATTGTGACTTTCGGTTCTTTCTCACATGTGTCCCATCTGGGGCTGACCACCATCACTGCACACCTTCCCAGCTTCCCGGCTGCTCTCCTGTCCCTACCTCTCACTACCCTAATCAAACCTACATCCTGTTGCCACACTCTGCTTCCTCCCATGCCCCTTGGGCCCTAGTTCAAGAACCAGCTGAGGCCAATGACATTCAGTCCAAGCCCTCACCCACCCTTCCCCTAAACTCTACTTCCTACCACTTCCTAAAAACACACTTGCCACTCCAATCAGCCAGCTCTCCTGTCACCCAAAGGTATAAACTACCTTGGCTCTGCCCTTCCCAGCCTCTGCTCAGTACAGCTCCTCTCAGCTACTTGCTCCTTGCCCTACGCCTTTCCAAATTCTACTCCCTTCTACAACCTCCTGCTTTGGTGTCACCTCCTCCAGGAAGCCTTCTCTGACCTGACCTCTCCACTCCACGCTACCTTCTCTGAACTTCTGTAGTTCTCATCAGCACAAAGACAGCTATATCCTATGAACCCTGAGACAGCTCTACTGGCACAGGTTCATCTAAAGTAAATATTTGGTGATCAAGTGAGTCCAGTTTAAAACAGAAAACTAGGAAGGAGACAGGGCAGTTAAACAGCAGGTCGGGATCCCAACACTTATTAGTAACATTGGAGACAAATAGAGTAACTATTGCAAAGAGCTCAAGTTTCCAATTACTATTTTAAGAGCCCACGATGACTTCATACCACTGAAAGTCTCTAGTCATTAGCTGGGTTACTTGTCATTTATGTTGGTTTCATAAAAATAATCACTTTGAAAACATCAGATTGTTTTCTCTAATTCCAGGAACTATTTGGATGTTTCTTGCACAACCAAGTGAAGGTGACAGAGTGTGGTTTGCAGGGGTCTCCAGCTCCTCCCTGTGTAACTTCCATCAGCTTTCCAACCTCTCCAAATGTAAGTAAAAACTGTGCTTACTATGCAAATGCAGCTCTAAGCCCCTCATACACCGCAGTTCTGGAGCTGACACTACACACAGTGAGGACACTAAAAGGCTGATGAACACACTGACTGCCTACAGACAGAGCAGAGGGATGGCGCTGTCCCCCACTCTGTCTTGGACACCACCTTCTCCTCTGAAACAACACACTCCTCCACCTTGGAAGGGTGCTCCCATCCTCTCCCTATGAGGTTCTATATCTCACCACTGTCCCAAAGGGTCTGGGTCAAGTCTTCCACCAGGGCTGCTGCCTCCTCACTATTTTCAGGCCAATGCTCTTGCAGCCAAGCCTGAATTTCCTTGGCAGCACGGTCAACATCTGCTCCTTGGTGTGTACCTCTGGCCTCAGCCAGTGATGACAGAGCTCTCAGAGGTGGCCAAGTACATCCTGCAGTCCCCTGGTTGCCTCTGCCTGGGGGCTGCCCTTGCCGGCACTCTGGGGAAAGGGCTCAGACTGAGGGCTATCCTCCTGCAGTACAGCTTCCTGCACCCAGGAGTCATCCTCCAGGATCACTATGGTGACCTCCTCCTCTTGTCTTTCTTCCTCTTTGACAGAGCAGGAGCATCGCCATCTTGGGCAAGCCTATTCTAAATCCAATCAAAAACCTAAATCCAAAGGGCATCAGCCTAATGGCTAAGGTCAGCATGACCATAAGCCACAAACTAACATCTCTCACCAGAAACATTCAAAACTCCTTCCCAACCAGAGACATGCTAGCCCTGAGATAACCCGCCTCTTGCCAGAAAGATGTCAGCCCCAAGATAACCTACCTTCTGCCCAGAGATGTTCCAAACCCACCAAAACTTCTGCCCCACACAGAAACATTCCTAGCTTGTGATAAGCACCCTCACCCTAAAACCAATATATACTCTTAGTCTGGAAGAGAAAGGGCTCCTGACTGAAATTGGCCAGAAACCCCTCTCAGGTTTTATCTAAGTAAACCTGTCTTTAACTGTCTAGCCGTAGTTCATGTGTTTTTTTTTTTTTACTCTTTCTTTAACTCTTACACTCTTGAGGTACCTGGACCAAGGGGCTCAGCGGAGTAGCCACTTTCGATATCTCTGTGGCCATCATCCAAGGTCCTGGGGCAATCACTTAGACTTCAAGCCTTGAACCTCAGTCTTCTCCAGCCAGGCTCTGGGGTAAGACACCTCCCTCCTCAAATTGTAACAAGTAGTCCTGCTGAGAAACAAAAAAGAGAACCATAATCACTAAGTAGACTGTCCTAAAGCAATCTAACTCACAAGAGCCCAGGTCAGACCATCAGGTGGTCCTTACATATGCAAACCAACAGATGCTTCCTGTTGCTCTTAAAGGAAAAATGACTTATTCCTGAAAACACCTCTCTCTGTGGTAAGAGAAGTTAAGAAGTATTACAAGTGGCCAGGCGCAGTGGCTCACGCCTGTAATCCCAGCATTTTGTGGGGGCTGAGATGGGTAGATCATGAGGTCAGGAGTTCGATACCAGCCTGGCCAACATGGACAAACCCTGTCTCTACTAAAAATACAAAAATTAGCCGGGTGTGGTGGCATGCGCCTATAGTCCCAGCTACTCGGGAGGCTAAGGCAAGAGAATCACTTGAACCTGGGAGGTGGAGGTTCCAATGAGCCAAGACCACGCCATTGCACTCCAGCCTGGGCAACAGAGCAAGACTCAGTCTCAAAAAAAAAAAAAAAAAAAGTATCACAAGCACAAAAAATACAGCATTGTTCCTTCCAAAACACCAGAGAATGAGTATCAGAAATGCAAAGTCCCCAGAAAAACCCATGACTGAAATACTGAGGACTCTCCTAAGTCAGCTCTGACTTGCACTGTGTGACCCTGACCTAACATACAACTTAGTCACTCAATCTCAGTGACCACTGAATAAAGAGAGATAGTAACACTCATCTTTTTATTCTTACGGGGGCATCTTAAGGATTAGCAGTGGATCAGATATCAAAGCACTTTGAGCTTCATTGGAATAAAGGCAATATCTCGACTGCATTATTACCATACTTTATGAAGATTAAGACATGCTCATACATCTCCAATCCAGTCTTGGCCCCTCAGTAATTTATCTTAAAAATGTTAGATATAAGTTCCAAATTTATCTTCAAAGAATCAATATGTCAGTATGTTCAATTCTTTGCCTTCTACTTTTAAACTTAACTTCCTTGCAAAGCAACCTTTTTTGCCTATTCTACCCTGACTCATTCAGATTACCTGCTACCTGCTACACCCTGACTCATTCTCCACCCTGCATAACCATTTTTTTCCCGCCAAAGCACTCACCCTGTCACTCTCTTTAAATTAGCCAGTCGGAATTAGTTTAGCCTGTGTGGTCTAACCCTAGCCAATAGGGGAACAACACAGCAGCAGGGGCCATGTGTGTCAGGGATAAGAACCCCCTCCCCTCCCTGGTCCAAGTGTGTGCTCACCATTGCTCCATCTGTAAGGGCGCACCCTTCTATAGAAGTAACTTGCCTTGCTGAAAATTCAAAAGAAAATTTTATATTAGAGTGCTATTTCTTTTGCGGCACCAAAACTTTATATGTAACAACAACAAAAACCCATCTTTGCAAAAAAATTTATTTGCAAGGACACAAAACCACAACATCATTTCTAATTCCAAAAAATTGAGTCCTTAAGAATCCATCAGCAGGGGAATGGCTAATAAACTACAGCACATCCGTATAGTAGCACATATCAGAAACTGTGGTATAATAAAGGCTACCTTTGGGTGGTAATGACAGGGAAGGGGCTCAAAGGAGTCATCTGGGATGCTGGAAATTTTCGATATCTTGATTTGGCAATGGTTGCATAAGAGCAAACATGAAATTTAACATCTGTGCATTATACTATATGTATTTTTTAATATTTTAAAAATTATACTCACAAAGATTACTAATCACTAATGATTTAAGATAATCCTTCTGATATGAAAATAATGGATAAACGTCACTGGGCATGGTGGCTCACGCCTGTAATCTCAGTACTTTGGAAGGCTCAGGTGGGTGGATCACAAGGTCAGGAGTTTGAGACCAGCCTGAACAACATGGTGAAACCCTGTCTCTACTAAAAATACACAAATTAGCTGGACGTGGTGGTGCACACCTCTAATCCCAGCTACTTAGAAGGCTGAGGCAGAAAAATTGCTTGAACTCAGAAGGCAGAGATTGAAGTGAACAGAGACTGCGCACAGCACTCTAGCCTGGGAGACAGCGTGAGACTCTGTCTCAAAAAATAAATAAATAAATAAATAAAATAATGGATAAACACAAAACCAGCAAGGCAGAAAAACCACAGACACAGTAAGTCCCCAATTCCCTTTAAAAATGAACTCATACACAGGAAAAAAGAACCAGATGGCAGTTAGAAAATATCGAGAGCAGTGGAATTGCAAACGACTTAAAATAAATATTACAAAAGCAATATAAAATTATTTTTAGGCCAGGTACTGTGGTTCATGCCTGTAATCCCAGCACTTTGGGAGACTGAAGAGGAAGACGGCTTGAGGCCAGTGTTACAGGAAAGGGGTCCGGATCCAGATCCCAAGAGTGGATTCTTGAATATCACACAAGAAAGAATTCAGGACAAGTCCACAGTGCAAAGTGAAACCAAGTTGATTAGGAAGGCAAAGGAATAAACGAATGGCTACTCCATAGGCAGAGCAGTCCTGAGGGCTGCCGGTTGTCCATTTTTATGGTTATTTTTTGATGATACGCTAAACAAAGGGTGGATTATTCATGCCTCCCCTTTTCAGACCATATAAGGTAACTTCCTGACGTTGCCATGGCCTTTGTAAACTGTCATGGCACTGGTAGGAATGTAGCAGTGAGGAGGACCAGAGGTCACTCTCGTCACCATTTTGGTTTTGGTGGATTTTGGCCGACTTCTTTACTGCAAACTGTTTATCAGCAAGGTCTTTATGACCCATATTTTGTGCTGACCTCCTATCTCATCCTGTGACTTAGAGTGCCTTAACCATCCGGGAATGCAGCCCAATAGGTTTTAGCCTCATTTTACCCAGCTCCTATTTAAGATGGAGTTGCTGTGGTTCACACCCCTTTGACATCACGAGTTGAAGACTGGCCTGGGCAACAGCTTGAAACTTCGTCTCTACAAAAAGGAAAAAAAAAAAAATTAAAAATTACTACATCATAAAGATTCAGATGACAATCCCCCTCAATAAAAAGGTGGGGGGAAAGTAGGAAAAAAAGCTTAAAAAGAAAGATAGAAAAAGCTACTGGGAAAACTGAAGCTCTCAACATGTATTTTACTCAAATGACTAGAAGGAGTGGTATATGGTAAAAGAGAACCCTTCCTACTTGGGAGCCTGGGAAAACTATGCCCGGTCAGCTAAGTTGTCGTCTGACTTGGGGCATCACACGTCCCTTCTGAACCTTAGTTTCCCCATCTGTAAAACGCGTAGGCTGCGCGGGATGTCGTCGAATGTCCCTTCCCGTCCAAAGTCTGCGCCTCCAGGTAGGAGAGGCAAGGAGCGCTCCACCAAGGAGAAGCATCCGGGATGGTTCGCGGAGCGCAGCCGGGCGCGTAAATCGAGGCTGCCCGGGCCCGCGGGACACGAAGGGCGACCCAGATGCCCCAGCCCAAGCAGGGCTGCGGGCAGCTGGCTCCAGGCCCGCTATTCCCTTGCCTCGGTCTACTGACCGGGGTCCGCGCGGCTCCAGACCTGCCTCTCCAGGTCACCTCTCGGGATATCAGGTCCTGCGGTGGCGGCTGCTCCACGTGCAAAAGTGCCCCCGGCCTTTTTGATGATATGCTAAACAATCGGCCCGGCCCCTTGCACTCCGGCTCAAGGCCATGGAGCACGGAGAGCCCTAAGCGGGAGAGGTCCAACCACCGCCGCGCTCATTGGCTGCCGAGAACGGCCCTGGGAATTCTGCCTTTCTATTGGCGGAGACAGCACCCAAAGCCGGAGGGCGGGAAGGAGTCTGGGCCCAACGCATTGTGGGAGACGTAGTCCGCCCGGAGACGAACCGGACAGCGGTCCCCTGAGCAGGGTTGCAGTTGATAGCCTGCGCAGTGCCCGCAGGCCAGAGGCAGGAAAATCCGCAGACTGGCCGTCAGGACCCCAGTGTTGGCCAGAGCTGTGACCTGAGACAAGCCGTTTCACTTCTCTAAGTCCTCTGTGTATTTGTCTATAAAATCTGAAAGGTGGATGGACGAACTTGAAGGTCGTTTTCAGCTACGAACCCGTGGCAAGGATTATTGTTAGGCGCCCCCGACCAGCGAGAGAGGACCCTGGGCAGGAAGGGAATCCATGAAGGAAAAAACCCTCATCGCCCAAGCCTGGAGCCTCTTTCCCAGTTTGCAGCTGTACACATGCACCCGGCCTTCGCACACCCCTTTGTTTTCGCACGTGGTATACCTGTGCTTGAAGAAAAACTCTGCCCGCCTCCTCTGCCGCGGAACTCCCATTCTTTCAGCTCCTCCTGGGTGGAGCCTGCCCTGTCATCACCTCCCTAGGCAGGGACACTGCAACAGCACACCTGTTGGACATCTTTTAAATTTTATTTTAAAAAATTATGTGTATATATATATACACACGCACATAGAGAGAGAGGGAGAGCGCGCGAGAGAGACAAGATCTGTTTATGTATATATCTATAGATAGATGGATGGATGGATGGATGGATAGATAGATAGATAGATAGATAGATAGATAGATAGATAGATTTATCTCTCCTTGAATTCCTTGCTTGAGCCCAGGGTCTCCTCGAACTCCTGGGCCCAAGCAATCCTCCCTCTTCAGGCTCCCAAAATGCTGGGATTACAAGTGTGAGCCGCTGCACCCGACTGACTCTCCATTTTAGTACCGACCGCCATGTTACTTACCTGTCATTCTCAGCATGGGTGAACGGAGGGTGCCAGAGAGTGGGAAGTTGGCCTGTATCTTGGTGTTCCTAGGGCTGGCGCTGTTGAAGAAATGGTTGCCTGAACCCTGTTTGAAAACAGGTGAGAAGCTGCCTAGAAACTCAAGTGGAAAATCTCAGAATGGAGAGAGGCACCCTTCATGGTCTGTGATGGAATAGTTGTATATTTTGCACAGAGCAATTACTGGAGGCACATGCAGTGAAATAACTGCCTTTTTTTTTTTTTTTTTTTTTTTTTTGAGACAGAGTCTTGCTGTCTCCCAGGTTAAACTGCAGTGGCACAATCTCGGGTCACTGCAACCTCCACCTCCCGGATTCAAGTGATTCTTCTGCCTCAACCTCCTGAGTAGATGGGATTATAGGCCTGCACCACCATGCTCAGCTAATTTAGTAGAGACAGGGTTGCACCATGTTGGCCGGGCTGGTTTCAAACTCCTGACCTCAAGTGATCTGCCCACCTTGGCCTCCCAAATTGCTGGGAGGCATGAGTCACCATGCCCAGTCCTTTTCCCATTTTAATTGGATTTATTTGTAAGAGCTCTTTGTATATTAAGAAAATTATCTCTTTGACACAATAGTTGCTACTATTTCTCAGTTTGCGTTTTGTTTTCTGCTATAGAAATTTGAAGTTTTTATGCAATCAATTTGTTAATCTTGTCTTTTTATAGCGTCTGAGTTTTGTGTTAGAAAATCCTCTGCACCACTCCAAAGAAGTGAAATTCACCTGTTTTTCACTAATTAACCTCTTTAATCCAAATACAGAGATGCAACGTGAGGTTTAGCTAGTGAATCTTACAGTACCCTGGTAGCATCTTTATCAGTCCAGACTGACCACATGCAAACAGCACCACCTCCAGGTCAGCCTGAGAAGTCTGCACTAAGCCCCTGGATGCAGAACTCCAGGCCAAAACCCCTCCAGTGATTTTTGGGGGATGATATTGTGTTAACAAAGATGAGTTTCCCCACGTGTCCATCTTTACCAGGAATGGAAATTTACACAAAAGAGAAAAGATGCAGGGGAGGTTGGGGATGCACAGCTGGAACTTTCCAGCAGCCCAAGAGTTCATTTACCTCTCTGTTCCTAACCCATGTCGACCCTTGACCACAAGAACTGGCACTAGTTTGTCACTGAAGGGTCCTAGAGAAGCTGTCTCCTCTGTGTCTGATTCTGGGAGGTTAGTTCTTGCCAGTGTTAAGGACCTCTCCTACATGAGACAGAGAGGAAGTCACACTTAAGATCAATATATGGCATAATGATCCCACTGAGAAGGGCCCTGGTAGCCGAGGCAGTACCCTAAGACCAGCCTGCCACAGTGAGGCAAGCCTGGAAACAAAGCCAAGTTCAAGGTTGCTCCCCCAAGACATTCCTTTCTCTATTGGCCAAACCACAGGGGTGAGAGAGGCTCGGTTCCACCAGGAAGCATTCTTGGTTAAAAGCTGGAGAACTAATCTAGCTAACTTAAGTAAAAGAGACCTATTGAAAGACTGTCAGGGAACTGACAGAATAGAAGGAAGCTGATGGATCAGGCTTGAGAACAGTTAATAACTGAGAAACAAAGAGGAAGGCCCCGAGAACCACAACAGTCTCTTAACAGAAACGGTTCAGCCTGCCCACCCCACGACCTCTGGTGGTACTACAGCCATCTGTGTTTCCCCACCTTTCTCACCCAAATGTCCACGTACAAGGAAAGAGCATTTGGTTGGCTGAGTCTAAGTCACATGCACACGCCCTGGCTGCAGCAGGGCGAGAGAGGATCCGATCTGGCTCCTAGCTTTTGTTACTAAGACCCCACACAAAGGCAGATTCTCCACTCTGGAGACTGAAGGCCTATTAGGCAGAAACAGTGTCACTACTTGTTTTTAGACTCTGAGCAGGAAGGGACTTCATCCCAAAGAATGTTACGCCTAAGGCATCTGGGGGCCCTTACCTCATCTAGAGTTGATGAAAAATGGTGTGTGTGGGGACGGGGAGAACTGCTTTTCCTAACAGTTCTTTCCATAACAGTTTTGATTGTAAGTTTAGTCCATTAACATTCAAGGTTATTATTGATCTGTAAGGACTTACTCTTGCCATTTTGCTATTTGTTTTCTGGTGGTTGTGGTCTTCTCTTTCTTCTTTCCTTCCTTCCTGTCTTTCTTCTTGTGAAGGTGATTTTCTCTGGTGGTATGATTTAATTTGTTGCTTTTTTGTGTGTGTATTAATTGAGTGTGTGTGTTTTTTTTTTATTTGAGGTTCCCACAAGGCTTGCAATACTATCTTATCACCCAATGTTTTAAACTGATAACTTTACACTGCTTGTATAAAGGAACAAAGAAATAAACAAGCAAAAAGAAAACTAACCAAAACTCTACACTTTAAATTTGTCCCTCTGCTTTTTAACTTTTTGTTGTTTCTCATTGTACTGTGTCTTGAAAAGTTGTTGTAGTTATTATTTTTGTTTGGTTCATCTTTTAGTTTTTGTTGTTGTTTTTTTGAGACAGAGCCTCACTCTGTCACCTAGGCTGGAGTGCAGTAGTGCCATCTCGGTTTGCTGCAACCTCCACCTCCTGGGTTCGAGTGATTCTCCTGCCTCAGCCTCCCAGGTAGGTGGGACTACAGGCACATGACATAACGCCCAGCTAATTTTTTTTTTTTTTTTGTATTTTTAGTAGAGATGGGGTCTCACTGTATTAGCCAAGATGGTCTCAATCACCTGACCTCGTGATCTGCCCGCCTTGGGCTCCCAAACTGCTGGGATTACCGGCATGAGCCACTGTGCCCAGCCTCATCTTTTAGTCTTTCTACTTAAGGTAAGAGTTGTTTGCACACCACAATTACAGTGTTATAATACTCTGTGTTTTTCTGTGTACTTACTATTACCAGTGAGTTTTGTACTTTCAGATAATGTCTTATTGCTCATTAATGTCCTTTTGTTTCTGATTGAAGACTTTCCTTTAGCATTTCTTGTAGGATAGGTCTGCTGTTGGTGAAATCCCTCAGCTTTTGTTTGTCTGGGAAAGTATTTCTCCTTCATGTTTGAAGGATATTTTCACTGGATATATTATTCTAGGGTAAAAGGTTTTTTTTCCTTCAGCCCATCACATATACCATGGCACTCTTTCCTGGTCTGTAAGGTTTCCACTGAAAGTCTGCTGCCAAATGTATTGGAGCTCCATTGTATGTTATTTGTTCCTTTTCTCTTGCTGCTTTAGGATCTTTTCTTTATCCTTGACCTTTGGAAGTTTGAATATTAAATGCCTTCAGGTAGTTTTCTTTGTGTTAAATCTGCTTGGTGTCCTATAATGTTCTTGTACTTGAATATTTATTCTCTGTTATTATCCCTTTGAATAAACTTTCTACCTCTATTTCTCTACTTCCTCTTTAAGGCCAAGAACTCTTGACTTTGCCCGTTGAGACTACTTCTAGATCTTGTGAGTGTGCTTCATTCTTTTAAATTTTTTTGTCTCCTCTAATTGTGTATTTTCAAATAGTTTGTCTTCAAGCTCACTAATTTTTTTTCCTGCTTGATCAATTCCACTATTAAGAGACTCTGATGCATTATTTATTATGTCAATTGCATTTTTCATCTCCAAAATTTCTGCTTGATTCTTTTTAATTATTTCAATCTCATTGTTAAATTTATCTGATAGAATTCCAAATTCTTTTTCTGTGTTATCTTTAATTTCTTTGAGTTTCCCTGAAACCACTATTTGAATTCTCTGTCTGGAAGGTCACATATCTCTGTTTTTCTATGAATGGTCCCTGGTGCTTTAATTTGTTTGTTTGGTGAGGTCATGTTTTCCTGGATGGTCTTGATGTTTGTGGATATTCAATGCCTGAGCATTGAAGAATTAGGTATTTATTGTAGTCTTTTCAGTCTAGCAGTGCATTACCCTCCCGGCTTTGATATGTGCCAATACACATGGAGTATTCCCAGGCGGAGAGGCTCCCTCAAGCCTCAGTGTTCAAGGTGTTTACTGGAACT